GCGGTGGCGGCGGAGGGGTGCCAGAGTGTCCTCCCAATAAGGCCTGGTCCGCGTCCCGCGTCACCGCCTCCTGCCTTCCCGGGCGAGGGAGGCTGGCCCACGGCTTGCCCTACATTGTTTTATATCAAGTTAAGAAACAAATGACAGAATACTCTACCCCCTTAAAAAACGTCCCCATTGTACTCGGCGAGAAATTTAGAGCAACTGAAGCTTTTGGAGAGGAAGCAACTTGCAACAGTTTGCAGGACGATGTTGCATTTTTCTGTTCCAAACAACATTTACGGAGACGCTTCTATGGGAGGGCATAGTGATTAGGGGATTTTGCTTAGTTCGCTCATCTACCCTGTAAGCCTGACTTTGAGTGTGGCTTTCTTAGAAAAGACCAAAATCTGCAACAACAACCAAAAAAAAAAAAAAGAAGAAGAAGGAGGAGGAGGAGGAGGAAGGAAGGAAGGAGAGAGAAAAAGTGTTGTTTAGTTATGTATATTTGGATTAATTTCGATAGGGCCCTCAAGAGGGCCTGAGGATGTAGCTCTTGGTAGAATGCTTACCTAGCAAGTGTGAGGCCCTGGGTTTGAACCACAGGGAAGGGGAATAGAGACTAAAATCTCAACTACCATAAACAGCTAAATGACCCTAAGCCAGTCAATTCCTCTCTCTGAATCTTAGATTCTTTAACTGCAAAATCTGATTCTTCAAGTGAGCACCAGGCTGCAACTGACCCAGTTCATAGTTTCCATTTGTTTTTGTTTTTTTGTTTTTTCACTAGGACCTATCTTCTGCATAATTTATTTTTGAATAAAAATAACTCTCCCTTCTTATTCTGAGCAGTTATGCATAAGTTCAAGGCCACATAGATTAAAACCTTAATTGTTTTTCTTTAGAAAAGGTCACTAAACCCAGAAATGCTTTAGAATTCTCCTGAGGCCTGAAGACAGAGGAACAGGGAGAAGAAACCTAACCTGCACATCCACTCTTCCTGCCTTTGAAAGGGCAATTGTCTCTGGTCACCATCATTGCACACTTTATGACGTTTGCAGAAACATTTTTTGAGATGCCACCTGATTAGAAAATCATTTCATTTGTGTTAGAACCTGGAAGACTTTTATGTCAATCACTCAGGAGCTGGAAGTAACCAATGCACTCAAATGTCTCAAGTTCATAAAATTATAGTTTGGAAATATGACGGCAAAAATAGTAGGCTGCTTCTCAAGTAAAAAATCATCAGTGTATAGACTTTGCAGGAAGGGGATATTTTGGGTCAAGTCCAGTACCCTGAGTCAGTCCCAGGACCTTTTAATTAGTGGATACTTCTTGCCGGTGACACTCAGCCAGCCATTCACTCCCAGCCTGGTGGTTCTGTCCATCCCCGTGTGTTCTCAAGTTCTCAGACCTGGGATCACAAAAGAGATGTGTCTGAGTGTCCCCCGCCCTGAGCTGGCACTTACATCTTTATACTTCCCACCAATGGGAAGCGGGAGGGTCCGGGGACAGAGCCCTTTCCCATCCCGCAGTGCAGCCATCAGCCTTTGAAACGCTGTTAACACATTCTCACATAAATTAATGGTGCAGGAAGCGGGTCCCTCTCTCCATTCATCAGTAGCTGGGTGTCCGCTGAATGGCGGGGAAGCCCGCGCCTGGAAAGGACCGCAGCGCACCTACTGTAAGGCCCAGATGCGGTTTGCAGAATTTATTCTCCATCGCGGTGAAAAGACAGCCATCCACCCAAAGCCCCGTATCCTGGGCTCTCATTTTGAAGTGGGGAAGCCCGCGACAACAAACTCTGCAGTTCTGAGAAACCTACAAGCACGCTTGGAATTTTTTTTTTTCCAAAAAAAAAAAAAATCAATTCTGGCATCATATTTAGACTTCAAGTGACCTCAGACGGACCGGGAACGCTTTCACACCAGCGAGGCCCCTGAATGAGAAAATAATCTCTTTACAGTTTTTTCCCCCTCTCTCTCTCTCTTCCCCCTTCAAGTGGCTGGAACCCCTTTTGTTCCAGGGCCTCCCTTGAATGGTGTTGCTAATAAGCCTATTAATGGGCTTCCACGGCCGAGTGTGAATAGGTAAATAAGCCCCAATCTGTTGAGGTTCTGGGGCGAGGGCAGAAAAGCCAGCAAGAACTAAAGGGGACAGTTTGAACTGAGCCACCGAGGCCAGCACAGGTTTCGGCTGAAAGAAGCGCCAGACAAGGGCGCAATTCACCGTCCTCCGCCCCCCGCCGGGGCCCCTTTCTTCCCAATTTTCCCCCCTTTACAAAATGTCTTGAGTAGTCATCCCCCCTTTTCTTCCCCGAAAAGCCCTCGGGACGCCCTTCTTTCTTCCTCTCTAGTAATGATACATCAATGGAAGGACACCAGAGCCCTGTCCCCAAACGTCTCCAAGAAACAAATTGCGCTGCTGGCCCGTCGGGGCTGGGAAGCGAGAGGCGAGGCGGGTGGGACCCTCGCTGCCACGGGCCCTCTCTCCTCTCTTCTTGTTCCCTCCTCCTCCTCCTCTCTCCTCTTCTCTCTCCTTTTCTCTCTCTCTCTCTCTCTCTCTCTCTCTCTCTCTCTCTCTCAGAAATTTTCCTTTCAATAATTTACTTTTTAATGGTGGCTGCTGAGAAGCTAGATGAATAAGGGTTGTGACATTTAAGGGCTCCTAAGCCCTGCCCATGGGCGCACGAACTGCCTGCAACATCATGAATCTCATTCCTTATTGACATCTCAATAACATCCACAGCATGAAAGAAGGACCCAAGAGCAGGGATCCAGCCTGTCCAGGGCTGTGGTAAGGCCACTTACTCCCAGGTTAGTCCGGGCCAGGGAGGGGCAGGATCCCTGGTAGCTCCCGCCCTACGTTAATAGCTGGCATTTAACTGAAGCAAAATCACCCATCGATTCACTGCAGAACATGCTCAAAGCTTCTAAACTTAGAACTGGGCCCTGAATCTCTAAGCCAAGGACTTCCCTGGGGACAGTCCTTCCTGAAGCATTCTTCACCAGCGAAGCTCGGGCAGCACACTTCAATAACTGGGTGACTTGGGGCCAGTTGCTTGAGTCCTCTGAGTCTTCCATGTTCTTAGCTGCAAAATGTAGAAAAGAAAGGTTCCCACATGTTAGCGGCTGAGTGGGCTCACTAAAAGGACGGATGAGTTAGGACAGGACCAACTCAAAACATTTTGGTTCAGATGCTGGTCAGTGTTTTGAGAAATCCACCCTTGGGTGAGAATCTGTGTTTCCTCCAAGGACGACTGGGAGGATTAAGAGCTGCAAACTACCAACCCTTCAACATTATTATTATGTTAGCTATTATGTTGTTGTTCTGAAGCTGATTTTAATAGCCTGAGGCCACTGCAGCCCACATGTCCTCCCATTCTCCTGGTCCTGCAGAACCTGGCCTGGCCACCTGAGGTGAGACTTGTCCTGGGAAGGCAGCCTCACTCAGCTCCTGTCTTGAATAAGGTCCTGAGCTAGGCCTTGCTGCAGTGGGGGGGGGGGAGGGGGGACCCTTGTCCCCCACAGGAGAACCTGCAGGGGCCCAGGGAGGCAGAAAGTACTTTTCACAAGGGAGGACACATCTGGACCCAAAGAAAGAGCTTCTTTGAGACTTTGCAGGGAATCTGAAACAAAACTGCCCACTGTGCTCTGCCTGGTTACTGTGTTTCTCCTGGTTTGAGAGACATGACAGTGTCTCCTAAGGAGACCCAACACTGTGAGGGAGTGCACAGGAGGACACCCTCAATCCTCCAACCAGGTGATTCCACCCACCGAAGTCAGGGGACAGGCCACTCGCTCCCCGCAGAACTGAGATATTTTCAGGAGAACTCATTACTTCCCCAAATATTTGTATTTCCAGGAAATAATCACCCACACCAGGGGGTCCACCTCCCTTCCTTCAAGTGCTCCAAGAAGCATTTGGGTTAGGGTTAGGGTTGTAAATGCCTCAAAGAATTTTCAAGTTCAGGTGTATTAGATGCTGCCACACCTCTTTTCACATGCCTATAGTTTTGTCAGTTGAACCTGCATGGTCTTCAAAATAGGGAAAGAATTCAGGGCCAATTTGTGGCTCATAGGATAATACTTATTCATAATATTTTTCAAATATATGGAAGTGGGAAATGTTTATAAATTGCAATTACTAAGGCTTGTGTTGGAAAAGTTGACCCTTAAAAGTCTTACACACAAACACATACACACACACACACACACACACACGCACGCACACACACATCTTCTACACACTTGTCATTTACCAAAAATGACCAAGTCTGGGGCTGGGGCTGGGGCTGGGGCTCAGTGGTAGAGTGCCCGCCTAGCACTTCCAGTCCCTGGGTTCAGTCCTCAGCACCACATAAAAATACGCAAACAAAAGAATGACTAAGTCTGTCACTTAAAATGCAAGGGAGCAGCAATTTGGGAACCCTGATTACATTCTGGAACCACTACAAAAGATAACTGGGAGCATCTTCAAGTGTCTGGATATCAGGGATTGTTGTTCATTTGCTTAGGTAAGATTACGGCAGTTTGGTTTTGTTGGAAAATGCCTGTGTTCTCGGTAGATCCATGCCAGAGT